TAGTAGTAGTAGTAAAAGTATTGATAGTAATAGTAGTAGTAGTGTTGGTAGTAGTAGTAATAGTATTGGTAGTAGTAGTAATTTTGTAGTAATAGTAGTAGTAGTAGTGGTGGTGGTGGTAATCGTAGTAGTAGCAGTAGAAGGGAAAAGACCAGAATGGCTTACACGGCCTTCGGTGATGCCTTTGCAGTGTAGTCGTTGCATGATTGGGTCGTCAAGATTGAAATGCAGGAGCAGTATACCCTGGTGTTGAAATCCTTTTATTTTACGATTCAGAAACTTTGATATAATTCGGTACCGACATGGCATAACGTGGTCTCTCTGTCATCTATTCCTGCATTAGTGACGCCTTCTTTCCATAGGAATGCTTGAATATGGTTTATATACGTTAAAGGTTTACACTGAAGAAGGCCCACGGATGCAGTACGTGAGTTCATTCCTGCGACGAAATCTTCAGAACCAGAACAAATACTTTCGTTGCTATTCTTGTTGTTCGTGTTGCCATTATTATTATTATCATTAAGATTGTTAGCATTATCATCATTATTGTTATTATCTGAATTGCTACTGTTATTGTTGTTGTTGTTGTTATTATCATCATTATTGTTATTATCATTATTATTATTATTATTATCATTATTATTGTTATTATCATTACTATTATCATTATCATTGTTCTTATCATTGCTATTATTATCATTATTGTTATTGTTATTATCATTATCATTATTTCTTGCTGTCATCATTATTATTGTTGTTATCATCATTACTATTTTCTGTTATTGTTATCATTATTGTTATCACTATGTTATTCATGTTATCAATATTGCTGTTAACATAATTGTTATTATTATGATTATTGTTATATCATCATATTATTCTCATCACCATTATCATTATAATCATCATCACCATAATAATTATTTTTATCATAATCATCATGATCACCATTATCATCATCATCTTTATCATCATAACACTTATCAATGATATCTTGATCACCATCATCATCATCATCACCATCATCATCATCATCATCATCATCATCATCATTAGCTCCGCCATGGAAGTTATGTTTTTGGTCGCGTTGGTTAGTGTGTTAGTTTGTTTGCACTAAAACTCAAAAGAGCATGAACAGGTTTTTTTTCGAATTTCTTACCAGAGATGTATCTTACACCTTCCAAATCAGAAGCCATTACGATTTGGTGGGAACCGGGTCATGACCTGGATCCGGGACTTTTAAAGGGGATTGCATCAGGTTCCCCCGTTGCCGGTAGAAGTATAAGTATAAGATAAGGACAACTTTTTGGGGCTCGAGTAATAATTGATTGACTATTTCCTCGGCTGAGGTATGCGCTCTCCGGGTGCTTATCGTTCTTGTTGTTATAATAATTATTATTATTATTATTGTTGTTAATTTTATTATTATTATTATCATTATTATCATTTTTATCGTTTTCATTATTGCAAATGTTTTTATTTTCATTCTCATCATTTTCCTAATAATGATAACAGTGTCATCCTTTTAATCGTTATCACTCAACATTATTATGACTAATATTTTCCTGACTGCAGTTCTCACCCTTATCTTCATCATTCTCATTAAGGATTCCGCCGTTGAAGCAGACTCAGCCCTCGGCGTTGTCCCTTCCTGACCCATCTCCAGGAAAGAGACACGACGCCCGAGATTTACGGATCTGGCTGTGATTTACAGATTCCTTGCTTAAATAGAAACAATGTCATATGTTTCCTTATGTATATATATATATATATATATATATATATATATATATATATATATATATATATATATATATATATACATACACATCGCGTTTTTTTCTCTTTCTTTATATCTGTATCTATCTGTCTGTCTGCCAATCCCCCCCCCCTCTCTCTCTCTCTCTCTCTACTCTACCAACCTATCTATCTATTTAACTATCTGTGTAATAATAACATGCTCTATAACATGTTCCTCCATAATCCTATAGCCCTTAGTAAACGCTATGTTATCACAGCGATCCATTTATGTTGTCAAAATCCAATTCATTTCGCAAACTTATTTATCAGATTTTGGCACCAGAGCATAATAGAAATACCACGAACAATTAGCGACTTTGATGAATCATTTTCTGACAGCAAATAATCGTGCATATTGCAGTTTCCTTGGCAGCGTGGCCTTGCACACCCTCTACCATGCACTTTCTGGAACGCGTTTTTACTTCAGCAACATTGCGATGGAAGTTTTACTACTAGTACTATTGTCATTATCATCATCATCATTAACATTATTATTATTATTATTATTATCATTACTATTATTATTTTCATTATTTTTATTATTGTCATTACTGTTGTTGTTATTGTTGTTGCTATTTTTCCTATTATTATTACCTTCATCATCAATATCATTATTGTGTATTATTGTTATCATCACTATCATAATTTGGTGTATTATTGTAATTATTATTATCATCATTATTATTATTATGTCATTATT